ATATAACTGAGCTACTTCTGGTGCCGTAACAGTGGTCCTAGTTGGAATAAAATGGGCTTTTTTACTAAATTTGTCGACCATAACCATTATTGAGTTATGACTTTCTTTAGTAATAGGTAGGTGAGTGACAAAATCCATAGACACTTGTTCCCATAGCTGGATTGGAATTTCTAGAGGCTGTAATAGACTAGCTGGGGCTTTTGTTTTATTGACAACTTTCACAACTACCAACATATTTCTTACAAACTTATTCATTTTTTCCAGTAGTGGTTACGACGTACATTTTCATATGTTCTTTCTACTCCTGAGTGTCTGTTGTTGTCATGGTGTTTATGCAGCAAGGTTAATTTGACTTCCAGTAGCGGTGAAATACATAAATGTAGATTTTCTTTATCTTCCCTATAATACAGCAATCTTTCTTCTATTAACTAGTAATGTCAAATTTGATTTTTTTAATTTGACCGCTTTATTACTATTCAGATCTCTCAGTGCTTTTATTAGTTGTGACAAATATTTGTCTTGGGCATATCCTTCGCTAACTTTTTTATAAAGTTCTTGGTCTACATTTATAGCAGTTATTAAATTTGTCTCTGGTCTCCTTAATAAAGCGTCCACGACCATATTCATCTTGTCAGGTTTATATTTCACTGTGAAATTGTATGATTGTAACAATTCCACCCATCTAGCCTGCCTTCATGATAGTTTAGATTGGGTCTGAATATACTCAAGAGAAGCATGGTCTGTTGTTACTATGAAATGTTGATCTTCAAGGTAGACTTTCCACACCTTTAATGTGTGCACTATTGCTAAGACTTCTTTTTCGTAAATGGAATAGTTTAGTTTTGCTGGTGTCATTTTCTGAGATTCGTATGCAATGGGCTGTTCTCCTTTCCCTTAGTCCTGGGCTAATATTGCATCAATTGCTGTATCCGATACATCCGTTGTTACTATAAAAGGTCTTTTCGGGTCTGGTATGATTAGCACTGAGGCATTAGTGAGTGCGTTTTTTAAATTGTTGAATGCTTGATATTGTTTATTTGACTATTGATACTGTTGATCCTTTCGTAAGAGTATAGTAAGAGGTGATGCTGTTTGTGAAAAATTTTGGACAAACTTTCTATAGTAATTGGATAAGCCTAAAAATGAGCAGAGCTCTTTAATATTTTTAGGCGTTTCCCATTCTTTTACTGCGATTATTTTCTTGGGATCAACTAAAAGTCCTTCAGATGACACTATGTGCCCCAAAAAATTAACACTGTCTTTCCCAAATTCGCATTTTTCTAATTTACCATACAGCTTATTTTCTTTCAGTTTTTCCAACCCTTTTTTGACATGTATTACGTGATCTTCTATTGTTTTACTAAAGATTAAAATGTAATCTAAATAAATTATTACATAATTGTCCAATTGATCTCTGAAAATATCATTCATAAGTCGCATAAAGGTTGCGGGACGTTCGTCAGACCGAACAGCATTACTAAAAATTCATAATAGCCATATCGTATACAAGACACTGTCTTATATATCTGATCTGATGATATCCCAATCTTGCTGAAGTATTTAGCACCAGTTAATTGGTCCAATAATTCATCCACTCTTGGTAGTGGGTACCGATTCTTGATAGTTATCGTATTTAGTGCTCGATAATCAACGCACATGCGTAAGGTTCTCTCTTTCTTAGCAACAAATAGGACTGAAGCACCGTAAAGTGAAGAACTTGGTCTAGTTATATCTTTTCTGAGGTTTTCTTCAAGTTGCAATTTTAATTCTTTCATTTCGTGGTTTGATAACCTATAAGTGGGGCCAAATGGAGGTACTACACCCTCTTGTAAAACAATTTCATGATCGATATTACGTTTTGGAGGTAGATTATTAAGTAACTTCTTTGGGAAAACATCATTATATTCTTTTATTACTGCACTCAGAAAATCAGGAATGTTAATTGTTTTTTTTCTGATTTTACTGTATTCACAGCTAATACTACATATAATTCTGCTACTTGCTTAGCGTCTTTGGCCAATTGTTGTTGAGTTACCATAATTGTTGAACATTCCTGGTATCTTATAGGGCTTATGTGTTTATTTTATATATTTTTCCTTCCTTTAATATGGAAATATGGTTTGTTTTCCAATTAATTCTTGGATTATGATTGTGCAACCAAGGTTTGCCAAGGATTACATCATATTTTTGTAGCGGTAGTACTTCCAATTGTAACCTCTCTTCTTTCTAAGAATATAACTGAATCTTTAAGTTTCTTACACATCCACGTGACTTACAAGAGGTGCAGTCCACTAATTCTACTTTTGTGCATATGCCATTATCTTGATCTACTGGTATTCGATGTTTTTCAACAAATTCCTTGTTTATAAAGTCTTTGGAGGCACCAGAGTCGATAAGTATCATAGCTTCCTTATTATCTATTTTGCCTTTTACTCTCAAAAGTTCTTTTCTATTTGGTTAATCACATGATTCAACTGTACTAACTTGTTCAATATTTTTATTAGATGTCTAGGTTGTTCTATAATTTGTTTCTGAATTTGTCATTGGTTTGTTAAGGCAATTTTTTGCCAGATAACCTTTTTGGCCACATCCAAAAACACAACTCTTTTCGTCTTAATTCTGCTTTCGTGGAATCATTTATGGTTTTAAAGGTTCTCTTTTTGTACTTTCTGTATTTTGATGCCTCGACTTTATCAAGTTCCATTGGTATTGATTCTGTTATTCTCAGTCCTTCTCCCTTTTGTGTATTGGTTTGCACATCACTTATTATTCTTCGTTTCTTTTCAGCTTCACCATATATTGCAACATTATACGTTGTAGCCAATTTAATTGCATCATCTAACTTTTCTGGTGCTCTATAACTTACTTCTGCTTTTGTACTAGGTTTTAGCCCTTCTGTAAAATATAAAATTTTATCAGCTTCATGCATACCATCTACTTGCCCCAGTAAATTTTGATATCTTGCCACATACTCTTGTACTGTGGTGGTTTGTTTAATATTACGTAATTGCCTTCAAAGGTATTGCTGGTGTTGTAGTAGCTGAAATACCTCTTTAATTTCTTTTTCAAATGCATTCCAATCATTAAATAGTTTTTGTGACGGATGTCCTTGTACTTTGTTTAAGTACTATTGTAGTGCAGAGCTTTTAGTCTGGTTATTACATATTGCAGTCTTTCTGCATCATCGATTTTTCTTGCTTTGAATAACAAGTCTACTTGTAGTAACCATGTTGTTACGTTTTTTCTTCTTTACCTTCAAATATTGGTAACTGTACAGAAAGACCTTTTGCAGGCGTAGACCCTGAAGCTCCGGCTTGGTTTTGGATAACTTGAACAACGTTTTTATTGAGTTGTTCTTGTTGCAGTATGAAACATTGAACGAAATCGTTAAACGTTTCTTGAGTCAGTTGTGTTATAAGTGGTTAGTATAAATAGTGAGGTGTAATATATGTGGATCATTTATATAGTTAATGTATTTGTTTGCTGCTACCAAGTGTAACCATTGTTCCTTGACTGACATTTGTTACTTATTTATTTATGATAATTTAGAGATATTTGTGAAACAGTCCAATGATAAACCAAATACATTTCTTCTTAGGCTACAAAACAAGTCCTTATTATCGTCTACCAAAAGGGGTAAAGACCAAATCTGTATTGTTCTAAAAATGCCTTCCCCTTATATATTTGTTTACAACTTAATTTAATCCCTGCACTGCAGATAATTCACCCTGTACGATCGCTGCGCATAATTGATTAACAGTTTTGTTACAAAATTGGTTTACTAGAATAGGTTAGAGAAAACCTAAGGTATATATCATGGCATTAAGAGATACAGTTAGTTAAGGAAAAGCTTTGTCAAAACTATTTTTCTATAAAAGAAGAAGTATCTGTTTAGAATAAATTTGATAAGGTAGTATTTGATGCTATAGGCATGTTAGGTAAAATGTATTTGTTTCATTTAGTTTTTGAGATAATATTTCGAGCTTGTTCCCATTGGTGTTGAGAGATGTTACATATAGACTATATATCATCGTGAAACCAGTTTAGGAGATTGTTAGACAGAATAATTAAGAATTGTTTAGTTTGTTTGACTGTTGTGATTTAATGTTATTATAAACAGTTGAGGAATAAATGCTAATAATATAATATAAGAAAAGGTTATAGCTGGGATTAGAGTTATTTAGTGTAAATCGAAGAAGAATATTAAGAATTGTGATTGGTGGTGTGGTTGTAATTTTAAGAGAAGAAAGTGAGGTAGTAATTATCTCTATTAGAGATTGTTGAAGATTAATATTATTGTTTAGACATAAAAGTAAATGCAGTGCATTTTCTAAATTTGAACAACAAGTACAGTTTGGCATGAGGTATAGATAAGAATAATGAATATTCAGATTTTTCATAGTTGGAAGGTTATCAGTAAGAATTTTAGTTCTGAAAGTATATTTTGAGGAGTTGTATATAATAGAATTTAAGATATCAAAACATGTTGCCCATTCGATTTCTGATAGATTTTTGAAGATTTTGAGTAGAGACCATGAATAGAGTTCCTGTATGGTGAATATATTTTTGATAAAGGTTCATTCTTTAAAAGGAATTAAGTAGTCTTTTCATAAAAAGTGAGTTGGTAAGTTGATGTAGTTATGAAATATTTTCAAAATAGTTTTGTTAGTGCCTCGTTTAGCAAGCAGATCTGCTTGGTTTTAGAGTGTATTAGAGAGTGATTTAATTTTATAAAGGGTAAAAGTAATATTCTTAGTATGTTTAATCTTATGAATGATAAGTATAATATCCCAATTTTGATTTTGTATAGGTTTGGAGTTGTGTGTTTGTTTTAGGTTCTTGATTGCAGTGTTGTTGTCTATATGGATGTTTATATGAGTATTATTTGATATTGCAAAAAAGAGAGAGATAATTGCTTCGAGCTCAGTTCGTGTTGTATCTGGGTAAGAGGTAGTAGCTCATTAAATTTAATAGATATGTTGTTTTTACAAACCCAGCCTATACCAGCTTTGATGTTCGGTAATTGTAGATTTTGAACTGATGTATCAGTATAAAAGTGAAGGTCATAAGAATTAAGATTTTGAATAAGTAAAAGAAGATTTGTAAGTTGTTGTTGGTGATCACTTGTACCAAATTTTCTCTAAAAACAATCACTCTATTCTCTAAATTTTACTAAGAAACCTACTTTGGCTGCCTAAGTAAAACTGTTCTATAGTAAATTTTACTTATAGGCAGCCCTACTCCAAACTTCTAAAGCTCTTTTTTACAAAATTACAACTCTTTTTCTAAA